TACCCCACTACAGCCTACACAATAGCATAAGCTATATATATGTTCTGACACACCCCCATAGGCAAAGTGGGGGAGAACAAGGGGTCACAAGACCAGTCAAGCAAAGCAAAGCAAAGCTCAGGGTGGATCACAAAGTCACCACACAGTCCGAGCACAAGAGCAAAGGCCAAAGGCTAGTTCACATGCAGGAGTACAGACACATATATATATAAAGCTGGACAAGCAAGAGCAGGTATATATATCTGACAGTACAAGTAAGGTCAAGAGGAGAGCAAGTGAGGCAAAACAGGTACAAGCCCCAGCTGGGTGCAGAAGCGCTGATGGTCACAAGGCGCGAGTGCCTTGGTGAACACATCAGCAGTGTTGGCCTCAGAGGCCACGTACGCAAGCCGCAACTGTCCACGCTGCTGTAGCTCACGAGCAAGGAAGTAGCGAAGAGCAATGTGCTTCGTTCTGTGCTCCAGACGCTGCTCTCGACACGAGGCCAGCATGGCCTTGTTGTCTACGTACAGCACTGGGGGAGAACGAGGCGGCTCTCCAAGGTCAGTCAGCAGGTAGGTGAGCCAGCAAAGCTCCTGTGCAGCCATGGCCCCAGCGTAGATCTCAGCCTCACAACTGGAGCTGAGAACCGACGACGAGCGAGAAGCCCGCCACGAGACAGAGCCGGAACCAAGGCTGAAGGTGTAACCCTGTGACGACCGCTGCGTAGCCTGGTCGTCAGCCCAAGAAGCGTCCGCATGACCTGTAAGGACCACTGGACTCCGCCCTCCAAGCACTAGCCCCATGCCCGACGTACTGCACAGGTAGCGCAATACCCTCTTCACTGCAGCCATGTGCTCTGGTCGGTGTCTCCCAGGAGCAACATAGCGTGCAAGAATGCTAAGAGGGTATGCAAGGTTAGTTCGTGTGCAGGTCATCAGGTACATGAAGCAGCCAACAAGCTCTTGGTACGGGCCACTCGACTCTACGGACTCATCCGAAGGCAGAGCTGAGAGCGAGTGGCGAGTAGGCAGAGGAGTGGCCTGAGGCAAGGAGTACGTGAAGCCGAAGCGCTGAAGGACCTGCTGCACCATGTGTGACTGAGTCAAGGTAATGGTGCGGCGTGCTCTGTCCCGAGTGATCTGCAAGCCAAGGTAGCTGCGCAGTTCACCCAAGTCTGTGCACGTGTGTCTCTTCAGCAGCTCGGACTTCACGTAGGCGAGTCCAGCAGTGTCCGCTGTGGCAAAGACCAAGTCGTCGACGTACACGAGGATGTAGAACGGCGGCAGAGAAGTGTTGGTGCGCAGAAACAGCGACGGGTCAGCAGTAGAAGGAGCAAACCCAAGAGCCGCAAGCGTAGTCCTCAGTGTGTCGTGCCACTCACGCGGTGCCTGGCGGAGACCGTAGACTGGCCGTCGGAGGCTCCACTGGGTGCCAGGAGGGAAAGTCCCAGTGAAGCCAGGTGGACGGCGCAGCCAGATCTCCTCGTGCAGGCTACCCTGCAAGAACGCAGTGCTGAAGTCGAGAGAGTGAAGCTCGTAGTCGCGCTGCGCGGCTATGTGCAGCAGCACCCGAAGAGTGGTCATCTTCGGGGTGGGAGAGAAGGTCTGAAAGTAGTCAACTCCCTGCCGCTGACTGAAGCCACGAGCCATGTACCGCGCCTTGAAGACAGGTGGAGAGCCCGGCGGCCGCTTCACCCTGAAGATCCACATGCCACTGACAATGTTCGCCCCAGGAGGGGGAACCGCGTCAACGTAGGTGCCTGTGGACTTCCAGGAAGCCATCTCTGCATCCATAGCTGCCTGCCACTGAGAGGAGTAGGGACCCTCTACGGCCTCCGCGTAAGAGCGCGGAGTCGGGATGTCTAGTGCATCCGGGTCTCCCTCAGGAGCAAGTAGTACAGACGCGAGATGAGGTGAAGCAGCAGCCAGACACTGTAACTCCTCTTGCCTGTCCTCTAGGACGTCCGTGCCAAGAGCACACTCACCCCCGACGGACGGAGGACAGACAGACGCACACTAAGCAACAAGACTAGCAGCGTAGTCTAGACGACAGCGAGCAGCAAAGTCGACGAGCTCAGCGACAAGAGCAAACGAAGCAGCGGACTCAAAAGAGGGGTCAGTGACGACACTAGCAAGCAGACGCGTGACAGTAGGACTGGCAGCACGAAGGGAGTCCGACTCTGGGTCGGTAAGCACAGAAAGGGAAGACTCGGGAGGAGAAGGCAAAGGGGCACGCAGAGGAGCAGTGGACGGACGCAGAGACATCCGGTGCGTGCCAGGGACAGGAGGAGGACGCTGACGCGAACCACGAGCACTAGCGCGAGCAGCACGAACAGGCGACGCGGCACGAGACGCAGGCTCACGACGCTCAGCAAGACCTCCAGTAGGACCAGTGTAAGGGGAGGGAGAAGGCAGTGGGGAGGTGGGCTCCAACAGTGACTGTGACTGTACAGGCTGTGGACACTCTACCGGAGGAGAAAGACCAAGAACCTGCTGCAGGAGCGGAACGAAGTACGGTCGAGGCCGCGCGGCAGCTCCAGACGCAGCAGGGACAGCACCAGCACCCTCAGCGGCAGCACCAGCGCCACCAACACCTCCAACGGTTGGACCTCCAGCAGCACCAGCAGCAAAACCACCGCCAGGACAGACAGCAGTAGTCTCAGCACCAACACCCCGAGCAGCTCCAGCTCCTGTAGGACCCGCAGGCCCAGCAACTCCGAGACCGGCGGCACCAGCACCCTTGACGATCGAAGAAGCTCCAGCTCCAGCAGTACGCCTCCAGCGGCGAGCAAACCACTCGCCCAGCTCCTTGGGAGAGAGGGGCTCCCGCCGAGACGCAGCACCAGGAGAAACCCCAGGCTCAGCAGCAACAGACGCAGCACCCCCAGGCTCAGCAGCTCCAGACTCAGCACCCCCAGGCGCAGCAGCTCCAGACTCAGCACCCCAAGGCTCAGCAGCACCAGACTCAGCACCCCCAGGCTCAGCACTCCCTAGCTCAGCAGCTCTAGGCACAGCACCCCCCGGCTCAGCACCCCCAGGCCCAGCACCCTCAGAGTCAGCACCCGCAGCAGCACCAGAGTCACCAGTAACCTCGACCGGGTCAACTGCGTCTACCTGGGACACACCTGAGGGGGCAGGAACCTGAGGGGGAAAGGGGTCTAGCGGGGGGGGAACCGGTACAAGGAAGTCCGGCGGCGGGGGGAGGGAAGGAGTGCGGTAGGGGAAGAGGCGGTAGAAGGGGACTGACTCGTCGAACGTGACGTCCTGGGAGGACAGAACACGACGAGAGGAGGGGTGGTAGAACTTCCACCCTGGAGCGTCAGGGGGGAAGCCAAGGAAGACACAGGGAGCAGAACGAGGGGACAGCTTGTCCGTAGACAAGTCGCGAACAAACGCCCGAGATCCCCAGACACGGAACGCAGACGCATCGCCGACCTTCCCCGTCCACAGTAACACTGGGGACTTCGCGGGCCGAGAGACCCTGGGGTGAAGGTTGAGCTGATGCGCCGCGTACCGTACCGCAAACGGCCACAGAAAATGGGGGGCAGCCGCATGCATCATGGACGTACGAGCGACATCCATGACCATGCCAATGCGGCACTCACCAATCCCATTTTGCTGTGGAGAGTCGAGAAGCGTAAAGGTCTGGCGGATCCCCCGTGCACGACAGTAGTCTCGCAGAAGGCGAGAGGAGAACTCCCCACCTCGGTCAGAGTGCAGACGCAGAACAGGAAAGTCCGAGCCGAAGCTCCTGCTGAGCTGGAGACGAGCCTTGCGGATCCAGTCGATCAGCACCTCAGTGACAGCACCCTTGCTGCGCAAGGGGAAGACTGTGGTGTAACGCGAGTAGTCGTCAACCACCAACAGGAATTAGCGCTCGTGACCCTGCCCACGGACGGGGGCTGGGCCCCACACGTCCATGTGAAGTGTCTGCAGAGGAGCCTCCGTCGGGGGAAACTGGGAGGAGTGAGGAGCAGCCCGGAGGCGCCCCTCGACACAGGGGACACAGGAAGGTCCTGGTCCCGAAGGAAGGGGAGGGAGAGACTGGGGAAGACCAGAGACAAGGACACGGGAAACCATGCCCCAAAGACGGGGCAAGGAGGGGTGGCCAAGACGGTGGTGCCACACAAGGGTCTCGTGAGACAGGAGGCGACACGAACAGGGGGCAGACTCAGGGCCAGACCGCAACGCAGCAGCAAACACCTGACCTGATGCAGCTACCAAACCAGACGCAGGGACAGGAGGAGACGCAGTGGTCAGGGTGTAGAGGCTCGACCCCAGCCGACGCGAGAACGTGGCCAGGTGCCGGCCGGTGCGTGCGTCCGTGCAGTGGGTCACCCGCTGACTCGCAGGAGTGAACTGGTGAACCCCCGCATCCTGTAGGTCCGCACCACTCACCAAGTTCGTCGAGAACGAGGGAAGGTACAGACCAGACAGGGTGCCCGAGGGGGCAGCCGGACACGGGTGGACAGAGATGACAGGACCCCCAGAGGGGTCAGCCAGGGAGACCGCAACCGGCCAGCCAAGCGGCATGAGGGTGGTGCGGTCTCGAAAGAAGGAGCGAGAAGCCCCGGAGTCAAGTGTGAAGGTGAGGGAGGACGAAGGCGACGCAGTACCTGAGAGCGCAGTCTCACCAGTACCTGAGAGCGCGGACGCACTGGCACCTAGAGCAGCAGCCTCACAAGCACCTAGCGCAGCAGTACCAATGCCCGGGTCGGGCGGGAAACACCGGTAACAGTCACCCTCCTCACTAATAGTCACAGCATACATAGCAGCAAGGATAGCATCAAAGTCAAGATCAAAGATCGCTACACCAGCCCTAAGAAGCTCATCCCAGCGGGGAATCTCACTAGCCTCGGGGAACTGCTGACGCCAAGCGTCCGTCAGGCGGCCAAAGCAGCGCTGGGTAGGGTGGGCACCCTCACACTGCTCACCCGCGCGGTCGCCGGAACGAAGGACGTAGGTACACGGACCAGCACCCCCACCCCTCTGACGCCGAGTGTACCACTCACGGAGCTGATGGGGAGGAGGGATGTCCCGCGAACGCTGCTGCTGCTGCTGGTGCTGACCACTACCAGCGCCGCTCCGCTGCGAGGTACCTCCCCGACCAGCTCCACCCCCTCCGCCACCACCGCCTCCTCCTGCGCCTCCTCCGCCGCCTCCACCTCCACCGCTGCCACCACCACCACCGCTGCCGCCACCACCGCCGCCTCCGCCGCCGCTGCCACCACCACCACCACCCCCTCCACCACTCCCGCCGCCACCCCCACTCCCTCCGCCGCCTCTACCGCCACCTCCACCGCCCCCTCCAGCTCCACCCGCACCCTTGCCCCCCTTGCCCTTGCTAGAGCGTCGTCTCCCGCTAGGGGCAGACGCCGCGCCGACCGACTCAAGACCAAGCAGGTCGGCAGCAGCAGCAGAGGCAACAGAGGGCAGCAGGGGGGAAGGAGAGCACCCCTCAAAGATGGGGGTGCGAGGGTCACCACGAGAAGCTCCTACAGCGACGATACTCTTCTCCACCACTAGGAGGGCCTTCTCGAGGAGGTCGACAGTGAGGGTGGTGGGACAGACTGCAAGAAAGTGGTCCCTGACTACGCGAAGAGAGTCAGGGAGGCGTGCGACTACGTAGTAGAGAGTGATGTACATGGGGGGGGGGGTTCTTGGCGCAGAACTCAGCAGGAAGGGCGGCGCGGTAGCGAGTGTCACTAGTGTGGAGGTGCGTAATGAGGTCAGCGACAGTGGGAAAGGCAGAGAGGTCAGAAAAGAGGTAGGGAAGCATGAGACGGCTTAGTGCAGTAGTGGCAGGGGAAGAGTAGCGCGCAACTACAGCGTCGTACAAGGTCTGAGCACTCTTGTACTGACTAAAGTGCGCGCGCTTAGAGGTAGGGAGGTGGCGACGCACAGCAAGACGTGCAGCAGCATCGTGAGTGGCCTACTGAGAGCGAACAGTGGGGTCAGCATCAGCAGCAGGGGCAGGAGAGGCGCCAGAAGTGAGGTCAAAGAGAGAAAGGCCGTCTGCTCTATCGCACTGTAAGAACAGCTGCAGGTCGTCGACCCAGACCTCAAAGTCAATGGCGCGACCCTCAGCGTCAAAAGCTAGGACACTAGGGGTAGCCATGACAGCAGTCGACGGTCTCACCAGACAGGACGGGTCGGGCATCTCAGTAGCACAGCAGCACAGCAACACAGCAGCTCACCCGACTCAGCAGCAACAGCAGCTCCGCGGGACCAGCGGCTCGGCTCCTCAGGCGGTGCAGGCGGCTCGGGCGGCTCGGGCAGCTCGGGCGGCTCGGGCGGCTCAGGCGGCTCGGGCGGCTCGGGCAGTCAGCGGCACAGGCGGCTCGTGCGGCTCGGCTCCTCAGCTGCGCAGACGGCTCGGGCGGCTCAGGTTGCACGGCGGCTAACGGGCGGCGTGGGGGCCGGGACGGCGGCGTGTAGCAGAGACGGGCGGCGCACGGGCGGTGTGAGGCCGGGACGGCAGCGCACGGCTGGGGCGGGAGGCGCACGGGCGGCTGGGAGCAGGGCCGGGACGGGTGAGGGGCCAGGACGGGCGGTGTCCTGGCGCCGATGGGCCGAGTCGGGCGGCGCGCGAGCGGTGAGGGGCCGGGACGGGCGCGCACGGGCGGCTAGGGGCCGGGACGGGCGCGCGCGGGTGGCTAGGGGCCGGGACGGGCGGCGCGCAGGCGGCTAGGGGCCAGGACGGGCGGCGCGCGGGCGGCTAGGGGCCTGAACGGGCGGCGCGCGAGCAGCTAGGGGCCGGGACGGGCGGCGCACGGGCGGCTAGGGGCCTGAACGGGCGGCGCGCGGGCGGCTAGGGGCCTGAACGGGCGGCGCGCGAGCGGCTAGGGGCCGGGACAGGCGGCGCGCGGGCGGCTAAGGGCCGGGACGGGCGGCGCACGGGCGGCTAGGGGCCTGAACGGGCGCGCGCGGGCGACTAAGGGCGGCGCGCGGGCGTCTAGGGGGCCGAAGGGCAGGCCGAAAGAGTGAGAGCGAGGGCGCGGAGCGCGCTCCGGGCAGAAAAAAAGTTTAAAAAAAAGTGGTGGGCTCTAAGCACAGTTCCCACGGGGGAACCTGCTCGATACCATGTGGAGAATAGAACGAGAATGAATGAACTATGAATGAAGTGAGTACATATAGGAAACCCTAGTTGGGTTGTACCCCCTATGGGATACCCCACTACAGCCTACACAATAGCATAAGCTATATATATGTTCTGACAGGGGCGTGAGGGACTCACGCGCACGTCGCTGGAGCTGCATCTGGACACAGCCAGGAGCAGCAGTAGCAGTAGTAGCCGCAGTAGCAGCAGTAACAGCAGTAGCAGTAGTAGCAGCAGTAGTAGCAGTAGTAGCAATAACAGTAGTAGCAGCAGTAGCAGCGCGGCCACCCCTACAACCCCAACTCGCGTACCACTCACGAAGCTGCTGGGGCGTGAGGGACTCACGCGGACGTCGCTGGAGCTGCATCTGGCCACCGCCAGGAGCAGGAGTAGCAGTAGGAGCAGTAGCAGCAGCAGTAGCAGCAGAAACAACAGTAGCTGCACGGGTAGGGCAGTGTGGCTCAGTAGAGCTGGGCTGCACAGCCTGGCAGCACGGCACGGCTCGGCTGGGCGGCTCGGCGCCGCAAGGCGGCTCGGCTCAGCTGGGCAGCGCGGCTCGGCTGGCAAGCAGGCGCGACAGGCAGGCTAGCGCGGCAGCACGCTAGTAAGGCACGTGCGCGGGAAGCGCGGGTAGAGCAAGTGCTCACCAGTGGCGGGAAGGGCAGTCGCTCGCCGGACGAGCAGGGTAGGCGCATGACGGCAGCGTCGACGAGGCCGGGACAGCTGCAGGGCGGGGCCGCGACAGCGGTAGGGGGCTCCACTGCAGCTGCTGCAAGGCGGGACCGCGACTGCTGCAAGCGGCTCCGCGGCAGCTGCAGCAGGGCGGGGCCGCGACGGCGGTAGGGGGCTCCGCGGCAGCTGCTGCAGCAGGGGCGACGCCCCGGGGGCGCCGTAATGAGCAGGGACGGCGCCCAGGGGGGCGCCGCGATGAGCAGGGGCGACGCCCCGAGGGCGCCGCGACAAGCAGGGACGGCGCCCAGGGGGCGCCGCGACGAGCAGGGGCGACGTCGCGGGGGCGTCACGACGAGCAGGGACGTCGCCCAGGGGGGCGCCGCGACGAGCAGGGGCGACGCCCCGGGGGCGACAAGCACGGACGGCGCCCATGTGGCGCCGCGACGAGCAGGGGCGACGCCCAGGGGGCGCCTCGACGAGCAGGAAAGGCGCCCCGGGGGCGCCGCGACGAGCAAGGAAGGCGCCCAAGGGGCGCCGCGACGAGCAGGGGCGACGCCCCGGGGGCGCTGCGACGAGCAGGAACGTCGCCCAGGGGGCGCCGCGACGAGCAAGGGCGTCGCCCCGAGGGGCGTCGCGACGAGCAGGGACGGCGCCCAGGGGGCGCTGCGACGAGCAGGGGCGACGCCCCGGGGGCGTCGCGACGAGCAGGGACGGCGCCCAAGGGGCGCCGCGACAAGCAGGGGCGACGCCCCGGGGGCGCCGCGACGAGCAGGGACGGTGCCCAGGGAGCGCCGCGACGAGCAGAGGGGGGATGCCGCGCGGGTCCCGCAGGGGTGTCGCGACGAGCAGGGTTAAGGGCGGCGCGCGGGCTGCAGAGGCAGCTCCCACGGGCTGCAGAGGTAGGCACGGCTGCAGAGGCAGCGCCCACGGGCTGCAGGGGCAGGCACGGCTGCAGAGGCAGCGCCCACGGGCTGCACGGGCAGGCACGGCTGCGAAGGCAGCGCCCACGGGCTGCAGGGGTAGACATGGCTGCAAGGGCAGCACGGTCGCAGGGGCAGCACGCGGGCTGCAAGGGCAGCGCGGCTGCAGGGGAGCCAAAATAAGAAAAAATTCAGTTAGGGCAGGGCGGAACGTTTGGTGGGCCCTAGGAACGATTCTGCTCTAATACCATGTGAGAATAAGAACGAGGAATGAATGAACTAGCAAGCAGGTGGGTACACGTACGGAAACCTAAATGAGTTGTACCCCATATTGTTTACCCCACTGCAGCCTACAACATAGTTCTCACAAGAAATTCGCCAAAGCGAATTCTGCAGAAGTCAGCGCGGAACTCTGCAGCAGAGTCATCCCGAAGAAGGGGAAAACGGGTTTCGCTGCAGACGAAGGCGAATCTACCGAGCAGAACGTGGAGCTGCAGAGGGCGCATCTGCAGAAGTTACGATTTGCAGAGGATGGCGCATCTGCAGAAGCGAAATTCTGCAGAGGACCGAGTCTTCTACCGACGCAAAAGTGCGATCGTTTCGGAACTTTTGCGTGGGAAATTCGGAACATTGCAGGACATTGAGAAATTGACCCTGGGGAACACTGCGCGGAACTAGGGTGTTCAATCTGGGGCGAAATTAAACCACCTGCACAAAATGGACCTGGGCGAAATTAAACCACCGTAACTACGAAAACGTGCATTACAGAAGTTGTTTAAAACAACCTGAACAGCTAAAACAACAACTTTTAGGTAGGTAAAAATTACCAACTAAGCACGTGTGCGTGGAACTAGGTGTCAAGTTATAATATTGTGTAGGCTATAGTGGGGTAGCCCATATGGGGTACACATTGCTAGGGTTGCATATTTGTATCACTTCATTCCTTAGTCAATCCATTCTTGTTCTACTTTCCTCATGGTATCGAGCAGGTTCCCCCATGGGAACTGTGCCTAGGGCCCACCACATCGAGATTTTTTTTTTCCTGCCCAAAGCGCGCTCCGCCTGAGTCGCGCTCCGGGCTCTCACCTCGTCGAGCTGCCCTAGCGGCCCCACCCTCCCCTAGCGGCCCCGCCACCCGTTAGCGCGGCCCCGCCGCCCGTTCGCGCGGCCCCGCCGCCCGCATTCGCGGCCCCGCCGCCCATTTCGCGCGGCCCCGCCGCTCGCTAGCGCGGCCCCGCCGCCCGCATTCGCGGCCCCGCCACCTGCATTCGCGGCCCCGCCGCCCGTTCGCGCGGCCCCGCCGCCCATTAGCACGGCCCCGCTGCCTGCTTTTGCGGCCCCGCCACCCTACTCCGCGGCCCCGCCGCCCTTCTACAGCGGCCCCGCCGCCCTTCTCCTGCGGCCCCGCCGCCCTACTCAGCGGCCCCGCCGCCCTACTCCTGCGGCCCCGCCGCCCTACTCTGCGGCCCCACCGCCTTGCTTCAGCGGCCCCGCCGCCCTACTCCGTGGCCCCGCCGCCCTGCTCCTGCGGCCCCGCCGCCCTACTCAGCGGCCCCGCCGCCCTGCTTCAGCGGCCCCGCCGCCCTCATCGGCGGCCCTGCCGCCCTTCTCCTGCGGCCCCGCCGCTCTACCCAGCGGCCCCGCCGCCCTTCTCAACGGCCCCTCCGCTCTAAACTCCTACAGCGCCGCCCGAGCCGCCCGTGCCGCCTCGCCCCGCCGAGCCGCCAACCGCCGCGCCGCCCTGCAGTAGCACAACCGAGCCGCCCAGCAGCAGAGCAGCCGAGCCGCCCCGCCGCCGAGCCGCCCTGCCGCCGAGCCGCACTGCAGCCGAGCCGAGCCGAGCCGCACAGCAGCCGAGCCGCCCGGCCGCCCACCAGCCAAGCCGCCGTGCAGCCGAGCCGCCGTGCAGCCGAGCCGCCCAGCAGCCGAGCCGCCGAGCTGCCCTGCAGCCGAGCCGCCCGAGCAGCCTTGTCCGGTGAGCACAACCCCTCTGTCACTGCGTGCCCTTCCCCTACTGCTTGCACTACTGGTCTACTGCTGTCATGGCTACCCCTAGTGTCCTCGCTTTTGACGCTGAGGGTCGAGCCATTAACTTTGAGGTCTGGGTCGATGACCTGCAGCTGTTCTTACAGTGCAATAGGGCGGACGGTCTCTCAATCTTTAACCTCACCTCTGGCGCCTCTCCTGCCCCTGCTGCTCATGCTGACCCCACTGTTCGCTCTCAGTGGGCCACCCGCGATGCTGCTGCACGTCTTGCTGTGCGTCGCCACCTGCCTACCACTGAGCGCGCACTTTAGTCAGTACAAGAGTGCTCAGACCTTGTACGACGCTGTAGTTGCGCGCTACTCTTCCCCTGCCACTACTGCACTGAGCCGCCTCATGCTACCGTACGTCTTCACATGCAGGAGTACAGACATATATATAAAACTAGACACGCAAGAGCAGGTATATATATATGTCACAGTACAAGTGAAGTCAAGAGGAGAGCAAGTGAGGCAAGACAGGCACAAGACCCAGCTGGGTGCAAAAGCGCTGATGGTCACAAGGCGCGAGTGCCTTGGTGAACACATCAGCAGTGTTGGCCTCAGAGGCCACGTACGCAAGTCGCAACTAACCACGCTGCTGCAGCTCACGAGCAAGGAAGTAGCGGAGAGCAATGTGCTTCGTTCTGTGCTCCAAGAGCTGCTCTCGACACAAGGCCAGCATGGCCTTGTTGTCTACGTACAGCACCGGAGGAGAACGAGGCGGCTCTCCAAGGTCAGTCAGCAGGTAGGTGAGCCAGCAAAGCTCCTGTGCAGCCATGGCCCCGGCGTAGATCTCAGCCTCACAACTGGAGCCGAGAACCGAAGACGAGCGAGTAGACCGCCACGAGACAGAGCCGGAACCAAGGCTGAAGGTGTAACCCTGTGACGACCGCTGTGTAGCCTGGTCGTCAGCCCAAGAAGCGTCCGCGTGGCCGGTAAGGACCACTGGACTCCGCCCTCCAAGCACTAGCCCCATGCCCGACGTACTGCACAGGTAGCGCAATACCCTCTTCGCTGCAGCCATGTGCTCTGGTCTGTGTCCAGGAGCAACATAGCGTGCAAGAATGCTAAGAGGGTATGCAAGGTCAGGTCGTGTGCAGGTCATCAGGTACATGAGGCAGCCAACAAGCTCTGCAGACGGACCACTCGACTCTACGGACTCATCCGAAGGCAGAGCTGAGAGTGAGTGGCGAGTAGGCAGAGGAGTGGCCTGAGGCGAGGAGTACGTGAAGCCGAAGCGCTGAAGGACCTGCTGCACCATGTGTGACTGAGTCAAGGTAATGGTGCGGCGTGCTCTGTCCCGAGTGATCTGCAAGCCAAGGTAGTTGCGCAGCTCACCCAGGTCTGTGCACGTGTGTCTCTTCAGCAGCTCGGACTTCACGTAGGCGAGTCCAGCAGTGTCCGCTGTGGCAAAGACCAAGTCGTCGACGTACACGAGGATGTAGAACGGCAGCATGGAAGTGTCGGTGCGAAGAAACAGCGACGGGTCAGCAGTAGAAGGAGCAAACCCAAGGGCCGCAAGCGTAGTCCTCAGTGTGTCGTGCCACTCACGCGGTGCCTGGCGGAGACCGTAGACTGGCCGTCGGAGGCTCCACTGGGTGCCAGGAGGGAAAGTCCAAGTGAAGCCAGGTGAACGGCGAAGCCAGATCTCCTCGTGCAGGCTACCCTGCAAGAACGCAGTGCTGAAGTCGAGAGAGTGAAGCTCGTAGTCGCGCTGAGCGGCTATGTGCAGCAGCACCCGAAGAGTAGTCATCTTCGGGGTGGGAGAGAAGGTCTGAAAGTAGTCAACTCCCTGCCGCTGACTGAAGCCACGAGCGACGTACCGTGCCTTGAAGACAGGTGGAGAGCCCGGCGGCCGCTTCACCCTGAAGATCCACATGCCACTGACGATGTTCGCCCCGGGAGGGGGAACCGCGTCAACGTAGGTGCCTGTTGACTTCCAGGAAGCCATCTCTGCATCCATAGCTGCCTGCCACTGAGAGGATTAGGGACCCTCTACGGCCTCCGCGTAAGAACGCGGAGTCGGGATGTCTAGTGCATCCGGGTCTCCCTCATGGGCAAGCAGTACAGACGCGAGATGAGGTGAAGCAGCCGCTAGACACTGTAACTCCTCCTGCCTGTCCTCAAGGACGTCCGTGCCAAGAGCACACTCACCCCCGACGGACGGAGGACAGACAGACGCAGACTCAGCAACAAGACTAGCAGCGTAGTCGAGACGACAGCGAGCAGCAAAGTCGACGAGCTCAGCGACTAGAGCAGACGCAGCAGTGGACTCAAAAGAGGGGTCAGTGACGACACTAGCAAGCAGACGCGTGACAGTAGGACTGGCAGCACGAAGAGAGTCCGACTCCGGGTCGGCAAGCGCAGGAAGAGAGGACTCAGGAGGAGAAGGCAAAGGGGCACGCAGAGGAGCAGTGGACGGACGCAGAGACATCCGGTGCGTGCCAGGGACAGGAGGAGGACGCTGACGCGAACTGCGACCACTAGCGCGAGCATCACGAACAGGCGACGCGGGACGAGACGCAGGCTCACGGCGCTCAGCAAGACCTCCAGTTGGACCAGTGTAAGGAGAGGGAGCAGGCAGTGGAGAGGAAGGCTCCAGCAGGGACTGCGACTAGACAGGCGGTGGACCCTCTACCGGAGGAGAAAGACCAAGAACCTGCTGCAGGAGCGGAACGAAGTACGGCCGAGGCCGCGCGGCAGCTCCAGACTCAGCAGGGACAGCACCAGCACCCTCAGCGACAGCACCAGCGCCACCCACACCTCCAGCGGCAGGACCAACAGCAGTAGGCTCAGCACCAACGCCCTCAGCAGCTCCGGCTCCAGGAGGACCCGCAGGTCCAGCAGCTCCGGGACTGGCAGCACACGCACCCTCGACGGTCGAAGAAGCTCCAGCTCCAGCTCCAGCAGCACCTCCAGACTCAGCAGCACGCCTCCAGCGGCGAGCGAACCACTCGCGCAGCTCCTGTGGAGAGAGGGGCTCCCGGCGAGACGCAGCAGTAGGAGAAACCCCAGGCTCAGCAGCTCCAGACGCAGCACCCCCAGGCTCAGCAGCTCCCAACTCAGCACCCCCAGGCTCAGCAGCTCCCGACCCAGCACCCCCAGACCCAGTACCTCCAGGCACAGCACCCCCCGGCTCAGCACCCCCAGGCTCCGCACCCTCCGCAACAGCACCCTCAGGCCCAGCACCCCCAGCAGTAGCACCCCCAGGCTCAGCACCCCCGCGCACAGCACCCCCAGAGTCAGCACCCCCAGGCTCAGCACCCGCAGCAGCACCAGAGTCACTAGTAACCTCGACCGGGTCAACGGCGTCTACCTGGGACACACCTGAGGGGGCAGGAACCTGAGGGGGGAGGGGGTCTACCGGGGGGGGAACCGGCACAAGGAAGTCCGGGGGAGGGGGGAGGGAAGGAGTGCGGTAGGGGAAGAGACGGTAGAAGGGGACTGACTCGTCGAACGTGACGTCCTGGGAGGACAGAACACGACGAGAGGAGGGGTGGTAAAACTGCCACCCTGGGGCGTCAGTGGGGAAGCCAAGGAAGACACAGGGAGCGGCACGAGGGGACAGCTTGTCCGCAGACAAGTCGCGGACAAACGCCCGAGATCCCCAGACACGGAACACAGACGCATCGCCAACCTTCCCCGTCCACAGCAAGGCTGGGGACATCGCAGGCCGAGAGACCCGGGGGTGAAGGTTGAGCTGATGCGCCGCGTACCTCACCGCAAACGGCCACAGAAAATGGGGGGCAGCCGCATGCATCATGGACGTACGAGCGACATCCATGACCATGCCAATGCGGCGCTCAGCAATCCCATTTCGCTGTGGTGAGTCCGGAAGCGTGAAGGTCAGGCGGATCCCCCGTGCACGACAATAGTCTCGTAGAAGGCGAGAAGAGAACTCTCCGCCTCTGTCCGAGTGCAGACGCAGAACAGGGAAGTGAGAGCCGAAGCTCTTCCTGAGCTGGAGACGAGCCTCGCGGATCCAGTCGATCAGCACCTCAGTGACCGCACCCTTGCTGCGCAGGGGGAGGACTGTGGTGTAACGCGAGTAGTCGTCAACCACCAACAGGAAGTAGCGCTCGTGACCCTGCCCACGGACGGGGGCTGGGCCCCACACATCCATGTGAAGCGTCTGCAGGGGAGCCTCTGTCGGGGGGAAGTGGGAGGAGTGAGGAGTAGCCCGGAGGCGACCCTCAACACAAGGGACACAGGAAGGTCCTGGCCCGGAGGGGAGAGGAGGGAGAGACTGGGGAAGACCAGAGACAAGGACACGGGAAGCCATGCTCCGAAGACGGGGCAAGGAGGGGTGGCCAAGACGGTGGTGCCACAGGAGAGTCTCGTGAGACAGAAGGTGACAAGAACAGGGGGCAGACTCAGGACCTGACCGGGACGCAGCAGCAAGCACCTGACCTGACGCAGCCACCTGACCAGACGCAAGGACAGGAGGAGACTCAACGGTCAGGGTGTAGAGACTCGACCCCGGCCGACGCGAGAACGTGGCCAGGTGTCGGCCTGTGCGTGCCTCCGTGCAGTGGGTCACCTGCTGACTCGCAGGAGTGAAGTGGTGAACCCCCACATCCTGCAGGTCCGCGCCACTCACCAAGTTTGTAGAGAACGAGGGAAGGTACAGACCAGACAGGGTGCCCGAAGGAGCAGCCGGACACGGGAGGACAGTGGAGAAGTGAGACAGGACAGAACCCCCAGAGGGGTCAGCAAGGGAGACTGCAACCGGCCGGTCGAGCGGCGTAAGGGTAGTGCGGTCTCGAAAGAAGGAGCGAGAAGCCCCGGAGTCAAGTGTGAAAGTGAGGGAGGACGAGGACGACGCAGTACCTGAGAGCGCAGTCTCACCAGTACCTGAGAGCACAGACGCACTGGCACCTAGAGCAGCAGCCTCACAAGCACCTAGCGCAGCAGTACCAATGCCCGGGTTGGGCTGGAAACACCGGTAACCCTCATTCTCCTCACTATAAGTCACAGCATACATAGCAGCAAGGATGGCATCAAAATCAAGATCAAAGATCGCTACACCAGCCCTAAGAAGCTCATCCCAGCGAGGGATCTCAGTAGCCCCAGGGAACTGCCAACGCCAAGCGTCCGTCAGGCGGCCAAAGCAGCGCTGGGCAGCGTGGGCACCCCCACACTGCTCACCCGCGCGGTCGCCGGAACGAAGAACGTAGGTGCAGGGACCAGTACCCCCACCCCTCTGACGCCCAGCGTACCACTCACGAAGCTGCTGAGGCGGAGGGATGTCCCGCGAGCGCTGCTGCTGCTGCCGCTGCGAGCGCTGGCCACCACCACTGCCGCTACGCTGCTGGGTACCACCCCGACCAGCTCCACCTCCTCCACCACCACTGCCTCCTCCGCTGCCGCCTCCACCGCCTCCACCTCCGCCGCCTCCACCTCCGCCGCTGCCTCCACCTCCACCGCTGGCACCACTACCACCGTCTCCGCCGCTGCTGCCACCACCACCACCACCACCCCCGCCACTAGTCCCGCCGCCACCCCCACTCCCTCCGCCGCCACCGCCACCACCGCCACCGCCCCCTCCAGCTCCACCCGCGCCCTTGCCCCCCTTGCCCTTGTTGGAGCAACGTCTCCCACTAGGGGCAGACGCCGCGCCGACCGACTCAAGACCAAGCAGGTCGGCAGCAGCAGCAGAGGCAACAGAGGGCAGCAAGGGGGAAGGAGAGCACCCCTCAAAGATGGGGGTGCGAGGGTCACCACGAGAAGCACCTACAGCGACTATGCTCTTCTCCGCTGCGAGGAGGGCCTTCTCGAGGAGGTCGACGGTGAGGGTGGTGGGACAGACTGCGAGAAAGTGGTCCCTGACGACGCGAAGGGAGTCAGGGAGGCGCGCGACTACGTAGTAGAGAGCGATGTACATGAGGGGTAGGTTCTTAGCGCAGAACTCAGCAGGAAGGGCGGCGCGGTAGCGAGTGTCACTAGTGCGGAGGTGCGTAATGAGATCAGCGACAGTGGGAAAGGCAGAGAGGTCAGGAAAGAGGTAGGGAAGCATGAGACGGCTCAGTGCAGCAGTGGCAGGGGAGGAGTAGCGCGCAACCACAGCGTCGTACAAGGTCTGAGCACTCTTGTACTGACTAAAGTGCGCACGCTCAGAGGTAGGGAGGTGGCGACGCACAGCAAGACGTGCAGCAGCATCGCGGGTGGCCCACTGAGAGCGGACACTGGGATCAGCATCAGCAGCAGGAGCAGGAGAGGCGCCAGAGGTGAGGTCAAAGAGAGAAAGGCCGTCAGCCCTGTCGCACTGTAAGAACAGCTGCAGGTCGTCTAACCAGACCTCGAAATCAATGGCGCGACCCTCAGCGTCAAAAGCTAGGACACTAGGGGTAGCCATGACGACGACAGCGAAGCAGTGCAAGCAGTAGGGGAAGAGCACGCAGTGACAGTGCGACTGTGCTCACCAGGCAGGGCAGGCCGGGCAACTCTGCAGAAGGGCGGCTCGGCGACTCAGTGACTCGGCTGCTGGGCGGCTCGGCTCCCGGGCGGCTCGGCGGCAGGGCGGCTCGGGTGCAGGGCGGCTCGGCGCCCGGGCGGCTCGGCGGCAGGGCGGCTCGGGTGCAGGGCGGGGCCGGGACAGGGGACGGCGGGGCCGTCAGGGTGCAGCGGCGGGGCCGGCAGGGTGCAGCGGCGGGGCCGTGACAGGGGACGGCGGGGCCGTCAGGGTGCAGCTACGGGGCCGGCAGGGTGCAGCGGCGGGGCCGGGACAGGGGACGGCGGGGCCGTCAGGGTGCAGCGGCGGGGCCGACTGGTGCAGTGGCGGGGCCGTCAGGGTGCAGCGGCGGGGCCGTGACAGGGGACGGCGGGGCCGTGACAGGGGACGGCGGGGCCGTTAGGGTGCAGCGGCGGGGCCGACAGAGGTGCAGCGGCGGGGCCGGCAGGGTGCAGCGGCGGGGCCGGGACAGGGGACGGCGGGGCCGTCAGGGTGCAGCGGCGGGGCCGACAGGTGAAGTGGCGGGGCCGTCAGGATGCAACGGTGGGGCCGAGAGTAGGACGGCGGGGCCGTCAGGTGACGGGGCCCGCTGCAGCGACGAAGAGGCCGCGCGGCCGGCGTGAGGGCGGCGTGGCGCGGCAGAGCCGAGAGGGCGGCGCGGCGCGGCCGTAAGGCCAGCGCGACGTGGGGCCCAGGCCGCGCGCGCGAAAAAAAGAAAGTCGCGCGCGCGACTCTCGGGGCGCCACAAGGGCAGCGTGACAAGCACTAGGGGGGAGCGCGCCTCGGGGAGAATAGGGCGCGCTCCGGGCAGGAAAAAAATTCGTGGGTGGGCCCTTAAAAAAACGGTCCTTAGGAGGGACCCGCTCTATACCATGTGAAAAGAATGAACAGGAATGAGAATGACTAAGTCAGAGTTGGGTACAAATACAACCCTAGAAAGCTGTACCCCATATGTGCTACCCCACTATAGCCTACAAACATGCATCAGCTATGATAATCTGACAGCCTCGCAGCGGAGCGGTTCTGGTGGTGGTCAGCGCCAGCAACAGCAGCAGCGTTCTCGAGACATCCCCCCTCCCCAGCAGCTCCGTGAGTGGTACACGCAGCGTCAGCGTGGTGGGGGTTTTGGTCCGTGCACCTACGTCCTTCGCTCAGGCGACCGCGCGGGTGAGCAGTGTGGGGGTGCCCACCCCACCCAGCGCTGCTTTGGCCGCCTGACGGACGCTTGGCGTCAGTAGTTCCCCGAGGCTAGTGAGATCCCCCGCTGGGGAGAGTTGTTTAGGGCAGGTGTAGCTATCTATAATATTGACTTTGATGCTATCCTACCTGCCATGTATGCTCTGACTATAAGTGATGAGGGTCACTGTTACCGGTGTTTCCCGCCCGACCCGGGCATTGGTACTACTGCGCTAGGTGCTAATGAGGCTGCTGCTCTAGGTGCAAGCGCGTCTGCGCCCTCAGGTACTGGTGAGGCTGCGCTCTCAGGTACTCCGTCGGCTTCGGCCTCCCTCACCTTCACACCTGACTTAGGGGCTTCTCGCTCCTTCTTTCGAGACCGCACCGCACTCACGCCGCTTGGTCGGCCGGTTGTAGTCTCCTTGGCTGACCCCTCTGGGGGTCCTGTCCTTTCTCACTTCTCCACTGTCCTCCCGTGTCCGGCTGCCCCCTCGGACACCTTGTCTGGTCTTTACCTCCCCTCGTTCTCGACGAATTTGGTGAGTGGTGCTGACCTACAGGATGCGGGGGTTCACCAGTTTACTCCTGCGAGTCAGCGGGTGACCCACTGCTCGGACGCCCGCACGGGCCATCACCTGGCCACGTTTACGCGTCGGCCGGGGTCGAGCCTCTACACCCTGACCACTAAGTCTCCTCCTGTCCCTGCGTCAGGCCAGGTAGCTGCGTCGGGTCAGGTGTTTGCTGCCGCGTCCAGGTCTGGTCCTGAGTCTGCCCCCTGCTCGTATCGCCTCCTGTCTCACGAGACCCTCCTGAGGCACCACCGTCTTGGCCACCCCTCCCTGCCTCGTCTTCAGGGCATGGCTTCCCGTGTCCTTGTCTCTTGTCTTCCCCAGTCCCTCCCTCCCCTTCCTTCGGGGCCTGGTCCTTCCTGTGTCCCTTGTGTTGAGGGGCGGCTCCGGGCTGCCCCTCACTCCTCTCAGTTTCCCCCGACAGAGGCTCCACTGCAGACGCTTCACATGGACGTGTGGGGCCCGGCCCGCGTCCGTGGACAGGGTCACGAGCGCTACTTCCTGCTGGTGGTTGACGACTACTCGCGTTACACCACAGTCTTCCCCTTGCGCAGCAAGGGTGATGTCACTGAGGTGCTGATCGACTGGATCCGCGCAGCTCGTCTCCAGCTCAGGAGGAGCTTCGGCTCGGACTTTCCTGTTCAGCGTCTGCACTCTGACCGAGGCGGAGAGTTCTCCTCTGGCCTTCTGCGAGCCTACTGTCGTGCGCGAGGCATCCGCCAGACCTTTACGCTTTCGGACTCTCCACGACAAAATGGGATTGGTGAGCGCCGCATTGGCATGGTCATGGATGTCGCTCGTACGTCCATGATGCATGCGGCTGCCCCCCATTTTCTGTGGCCGTTTGCGGTTCGGTACGCGGCGCATCAGCTCAACCTTCACCCCAGGGTCTTCCGGCCGGAGACCTCCCCAGCTCTGCTGTGGACGAGGAAGGTCAGCGATGCGTCTGCGTTCCGTGTCTGGGGATCTCGGGCGTTTGTCCGCGACTTGTCTGCGGACAAGCTGTCCCCTCGTGCTGCTCCCAGTGTCTTCCTTGTCTTCCCCCCTGACGCACCAGGGTGGCAGTTCTACCACCCCTCCTCTCGTCGTGTTCTGTCCTCCCAAAACGTCACGTTCGACGAGTCAGTCCCCTTCTACCGCCTCTTCCCCTACCGCACTCCTTCCGTCCCCCCGCGCCTGCACTTCCTTGTGCCAGGTCCCCCCCCGGTAGACCCCCTTCCCCCTCAGGGTCCTGCCCCTTCAGCTGTGTCCCAGGTAGACACAGTCAAGCCGGTCGAGGTTGCTGGTGACTCTGGTACTGCTGCAGGTGCTGAGCCTGGGGGTGCTACGCCTGGGGGTGCTGAGCCTGGGGGTACTGCGACCGGGGGTGCTAGGACTGGGGGTGCAGAGCCTGGGGGTACTGCGACCGGGGGTGCTAGGACTGGGGGTGCAGAGCCTGGGGGTGCTACGTCACGAGCTGCTGAGCCTGGGGGTGCTGCGTATGGAGCTGCTGAGCCTGGAGGTGCGGACCCTGCGGCTCTTGGACCTCCCCTTGTGGCGTCTGGCGGTGCTGGGCCTGGAGGTTCTTCGGGTGCTTCGTCTCGGCGGGAGCCACTCTCTCCACAGTCACTGTGCGAGTGGTTTGCCCAGCGCTGGAGGAGTTCTGCTGGAGCTGGAGCTGCTGAGGGTGTTGGCGCTGAGACTACTGTTGTCACTCCTGGCGGTGGTCCTGCTGCGGGTGCTGCTGGTGCTACTGGAGGTCCTGAACCTGGAGGTGCTGTTGGCGCTGGTGCTGCCGCTGAGGTCACTGGTGTTGTCCCCGCTGTTTCTAGAGCTGCCGCGTGGCCTCGGTCGTACTTTGTTCCGCTCCTTCAGCAGGTTCTTGGTACTTCTCCTCCTGTAGAGTGTTCGCCGCCTGTCCGGTCTCTGTCCCAGTTGCCGCCCGCCTCCCCACTGCCTGCTCCCTCTCCTTACACTGGTCCTACTGGAGGTCTTGCTGAGCGTCGTGAGCCTGCGTCTCGTCCCGCGTCGCTTGTTTGTACTGCTTGCGCTAGTGGTCGCGGTTCGCATCAGCGTCCTCCTCCTGTCCCTGGCACACACCGGATGTCTATGCGTCCGTCCACTACTCCTCTGCGTGCCCCTTTGCCTTCTCCTCCTGAGTCCTCTCTTCCTGCGCTTGCCGACCCGGAGTCGGACTCTCTTCGTGCTGCCTGTCCTACTCTCACGTGCCTCCTTGCTAGTGTCGTCACTGACCCCTCTTTTGAGTCCACTGCTGCGTCTGCTCTTGTTACTGAGCTCGTCGACTTTGCTGCTCGCTGTCGTCTAGACTACGCTGCTAGTCTTGTTGCTGAGTCTGCGTCTATCTGTCCTCCGTCTGTCGGGGGTGAGTGTGCTCTTGGCACGGACGTCCTTGAGGACAGGTAGCACGAGTTCTAGTGTGTGGCTGCTGCTTCGCCTCATCTCGCCCCTGAGGGAGACCCGGATGCACTAGACATCCCGACTCCGCGCTCTTACGCGGAGGCTGTAGAGGGTCCCTACTCCTCTTAGTGGCACGCAGCTATGGATGCAGAGATGGCTTCCTGGAAGTCCACAGGCACCTACGTTGACGAGGTTCCCACTCCTGGGGCGAACATCGTTAGTGGCATGTGGATCTTCAGGGTGAAGCGGTCGCCGTGCTCTCCAACTGTCTTCAAGGCGCGGTACGTGGCTCGTGGCTTCAGTCAGCGGCAGGGAGGTGACTACTTTAAGACCTTCTCTCCCACCCCGAAGATGACCACTCTTCGGGTGCTGCTGCACATAGCCGCTCAGCGCGACTACGAGCTTCACTCTCTTCACTTCAGCACTGCATTCTTACAGGGTAGCCTGCACGAGGAGATCTGGCTGCGCCGTTCACCTGGCTTCACTGGGACTTTCCCTCCTGGCACCCAGTGGAGCCTCCGACGGCCAGTCTACGGTCTTCGCCAGGCACCGCGTGAGTGGCACGACACACTGAGGACTACGCTTGCGGCTCTTGGGTTTGCTCCCTCTACTCCTGACCCGTCGTTGTTTCTTCGCAGCAACACCTCTCTGCCGCCGTTCTACATCCTTATGTACGTCGACGACTTGGTCTTTGCCACAGCTGACACTGCTGGACTCGCCTACGTGAAGTCCGAGCTGCAGAAGAGACACACGTGCACAGAC